ATATGGCAGAGGCTGGCATATGTCAACATACTTGCTGTATGTCAACGTGTGCCAGTGTGCTTCAACGTGTTCATAACTAATACGAAATGTACCCATTACTTATCCAAGGTGTTCCAGCGTTTAGCCAGAGTTTTTGTATGTCAGGCTTTCGCTGGTCTAAATCGTCAAGCTGTGACAGGGCCTTATCCTTCCTGGAGCATCACTCTGAAACCTGAGATGAAGCTGCCTTTTATGGGGTTGGGGGGTTGTAGGTTAAAAGAGCATTTCACATGAATCAGGAACGCAAGCTTCCCTTCAGATCATATTTGATCAAATCATGATGAACAGATGTGGTTTTTGGTTAGAAGAAAATCTAAGTCTTCTCACCTTGAAAAAATGCACATAGTCTTCAGACGCAGCCAGCTGGCTCAGTGTGGAGCTCCTCTTCCTCAGTGCAGCTATCTCCTCCTCCAGCTCTGTCAGCAAACTCTGAGCTCTGCTCTCTGCTATCTGAACAGCCGTCTCTATCGTCTGGTGGGGAAAACCAAAAGGCTAAAAAACAGGCAGTGCTTTTATTTTAATAAATCTGTCCGGTCATTTACCTCCAAGATTTTAGACTGGCAGTGCTCCACTGTGGAGATCAGCTTGGTCAAAGCACAAACGACTCCATCTGTCTCCAGCTCTGCAGCAGCCTGAGACAATCAGAACCAGCAAGGCAGTGGCAGAAGAGGAAAATTCATGGTTACATTAAAAAACGGTTATTTGTATTTGGTTGTTCTGTTTCAAGGTGGATACTCTGAAACAGCATTTAGCATAGTGTGTAACTACAATCCTGTTAGTCTCAACATAATTATACATATATGTATATACATATATAATGCAGCTATATATATGTATAGACCTTCTCTTTAAAAGGGTTTTCTTTATTTTATGACTATGCAAATTTAAGATTCACACTGAAGGCATCAAAACTATGAATTAACACATGTGGAATTATATACTTAACAAAAAAGTCTGAAACAAGTGAAAACATGTCTTAAATTCTAGGTTCTTCAAAGTAGCCATCTTTTGCTTTGATTACTGCTTCGCTCATTCTTGGTATTCTCTTGATGAGCTTCCAGAGGCCGTCACCTGAAATGGTTTTCATGTCACAGGTGTCCACCGTCAGGTTTAATAAGTGGGATTTATTGCCCTATAAATGGGATTGGGACCATCAGTTGTGTTGTGCAGAAGTCAGGTGGATCCACAGCTGATAGTCCTACTGAATAGACTGTTAGAATATGAATTATGGCAAGAAAAAAGCAGCTAAGTAAAGAAAAAACATAATTACTTTAAGAAATAAAGGTCAGTCATTCTGAAAAATTGGCAAAACTTTGAAAGCGTCCAAAATTGCAGTCACAAAAATCATCAAGCGCTACAGAGAAACTGGCTGACATGAGGATCTCCCAGGAAAAGAAGACCAAGAGTCCCCTCTGCTACGGAGGAGAAGTTCATCTGAGTCACCAGCCTCAGAAATCGCAGGTTAGCAGCATCTCAGATTAGACAGCAGGTCAATGCCACACAGAGTTCTAGCAGCACACACATGTCTAGGACAACTGCTAAGACGAGACTGTGTGAATCAAGCCTTTATGCTAGGAAACCACTGCTAAGGACAGGCAACAAGCAGAAGAGAAGAACACAAGGAATGGACATTAGACCACAAATTTGAGATCTATGGTTCCAACTATCGTGTCTTTGTGCGACGCAGAAAAGGTGAACGGATGGACTCTACATGCCTGGTTCCCACCGTGAAGCATGGAGGAGGAGGTCTGATGGTTGGGGTGGAGGGGGGTTGGGGCGGCTTTGCTGGTGATACTGTTGGGGATTTATGATACTGTTGGGGATTTATTCAAAATTGAAGGCATACTGAACCAGCATGGCTACCACAGCATCCTGCAGCAGCATTCTATTCCATCCGGTTTGTGTTTAGTTAGACCATCATTTATATTTCAACAGGACAATGACCCCAAACACACCTGCAGGCTGTGGAAGAGCTATTTGACCAAGAAGGAGAGTGATAGGGTGATGAGCCAGATGACCTGCCCTCCACAATCACGGGACCTGAACCCAATCCAGATGGTTTGGGGTGAGCTGGACCGCAGAGTGAAGGCAAAAGGACCAACAAGTGCTGAGCATCTATGGGAACTCCTTCAAGACTGTTGGAAGACCATTTCAGGTGACGGCCTCTGGAAGCTCATCAAGAGAATACCAAGAGTGAGCAAAGCAGTAATCAAAGCAAAAGGCGGCTACTTTGAACAACCTAGAATATAAGACATATTTTCAGTTGTTTTACACTTTTTGGCTAAGTATATAATTTCACATGTGTTGATTCATAGTTTTGATGCCTCAGTGGGAATCCACAATTTTTATAGTCATGAAAATAAAGAAACATCTGTGAATAAGAAGGTGTGTCCAAACCTTTGGTCTGTACTGTATATGTGTAAGTGTGTATATATATATACAGTGCTGCTTGAAAGTTTGTGAACCATCCAAACATGGCCATTGTTTTCTAAAGAAAAATTATAATAATCATGTAAAATTAACATCCAAAGCTCAAATTGTAATGCGGACCTTCCAGATAAGGAACACAAAGACAAAAAAGATGCATCTTTTTATTATTTATTCAACAAAAGTATTTTATCTGTCA